CGAACCCGTGTCCCCTGCATCGGCAGGCGGACTCCCAACCACTGCGCCACCTGGGAAGCCCTCATCAGCTACTTTTGCTTTCACCAGAAATACATAACATATCCTCAACTCCCTTGCAAACCTCCCGTGATACGACAAAGCAAAACTCCAATCCTGAATCTATGCCATAATCTACCACCTCCCCTTACCCACTTGAGATACAATATAAAAATGGCCATGTTCTTGTTGGCCCTTACTAAGACTAGATTTAAGAACAGAAAAGCTAGTTCCGTGACCTCCCCTGATGGGTCCCCCTCCCTCTCCCACTGTAGGCAACCCAGTTGCCGAGGGCCCATGCAGTATTTCACTTGTTAACTGTATCGGACCTAGACTGAGTTTCAGTGACTAGAGGGTCGTGATTTCAGCCAGTGAACTTAACAGGAGGCAGCAGAGTGGGGAAGAGTCTCCTCGAGGATGGCAACGCCCAGGGAAGCAACTGTGGCAGTCCTGCCCCTTTGCAGAGGCACGCTGTATTGAGGCCATCACTCCCCGGGGTGTGAGATTGCAGGAGGGAGAACACCGAGCGCGCTGACTCCCCAGGGGCAACTCGCGACGCACAACCTTCACTTCCCACGTTCTTGGAGGGTTGCCCTCCCGAAGAGGCACCACCGCAGTGCCTGGATTTGCCCCGCCCACCGGCTGCGTGTAGGCGGGGCTGATGAGGAATTTCGCGAGACCTCAGTAGCCCTAGGCGTCTTTACGCGCAGGAAGGTTACACGGAGGTTTCAGGAGGAGCCCTTGGGGGCCTGGCCCGCCCGCTGCCAGAACGCGGAGTCTCTGCTGCAGCTAGGGGCCAGCAGCCTGGGTGGGAGAGACGCTCCGCCGCCAAGGGCTCGGTGGCAGAGCAGTTCTGTGGCTCTCTTTCTCCCTGTCTCCGGGCCTGGCGCGGGGTGCTAGTCGCCCCGAGCTTTCCCCGCACTAGCGTGCCTCCAAAAGCTCGCTTCTGCCCTGGCTACAACTCAGCGCCCCATGCTGGCTGGCACTTTGCTGCTGCTTAGAAGGAAAGAAGTAAGTGGAAGCTATGTGTCTGGCTTGGCCAGGCCGGAGGCAGATGCACCTGTCCGGGGAAGGGAAGGGAAAATGCGGGGCTTCTGGGGGCCGGATTGGCTTAGAAACATGTGGGGGGAGGGAACAGAGAACGAACCTTTTCCCCGGAGAGTCATGGCCTGTGTTTGAGGTTTTGGGCAGCAGCAGGCGTGTGAATTGGTCTGCACCTGGCTCTTACCTTGGGCCAGGACCATGCGGAGAGGTAACCTGGCTAGACCCACGGCGGCCTTCCTGGGAGGGTGGCCCCCGCACCTGTGGGCCTGGGCTTCCCAGCGCCTCCCCAGGGGTTTCCTGTCAGTGCCAAGGAGCTTCCTCAACCAGCCTGGCCAAATTGCCACGTGCCATTTGCCAGCATGTGGGAGCTCCGTGTGTCTGGGAGAGTGTTCGTAGAACTGGAGAGTCTCTTTCAAAACGGCCCCGGCAAGGGAAAGGAGTGCTCCCTCCAGCGCCCAGATAGCCTCAGCTGAGGATCCGGGCCACTGAGAAGTTTCTCTTCAGCTGGCCAACTTGTGTCATCAACTCAAAATAACAGAGATGGTCACGCCTGCTTGTAGCCCCCTATCTCCTCCCCATCCCCCCGGTATTTGGTTTTCTATGATGATCTGGCCCATCTTCTTCCTGGAGGCCCAGTGACGTGTTCCTCTGTCAGCTTGTGAGTCATCCACAGACTCAGTCTCCCCAAGTCAGACTTCTCTCTTTGTCCTGGGACTTCTCAGCATTCACAGAAGCTGCGTGCAGGGTGGTCAGGATGTGTGGGGCGGTTGGGGCCCTTTCCCATCCACTACCTCAAGTCCAGCTCTCCGATGATCCCTTTGGCTGTAGCCTCCATCAGGGTTTTGCCGTTTGTGCTCGTTGATACTTGCGTGTTTTGTGAAGTGGACTCACAGCTGCACACAGAGAGCAGGTTGTCAGCGGGGCTGGCGGAAGAGCCTTTCCCCCTTTCCCAACCAAAGAGACTTCCTAGGATTTGTAGATGTCAATCCTGAGTCATCTGAAGGGAAGATAGGCAGATGGGCAAGGGGAAGAGAAGGGCGGGCATGGCCACTGCACAAGACTCCGGTGCTGGTTTTGGTAAATTGGGAGCAGGCATAAGGGAAGGTGTCCCACAGGCAAGGCCCCGGGCTACTGGGAAGGAGTGTCCTCATTGCACACCCTGCCCTGCCCTCTGTGGGGTGGGTAGGGTCTGTGAGAATCTGTGAGCCTTCCTCTTTTGTATGTAGAGTGAGCCACTTGTGTGCTTGTTGCTGCTCTTGTGACATTTTTTGTACACTGGTTTGCTACTTGTGGCAGGAAGAAACAAAACGAAAAGAGTCATTTCAAGCCAAGCTGTGGTTTTGGAAACCTGCTTTCTTTCGGTGTCGGTTTTGTATTATATTTGAAAGAATTCTTAGTTTCTATGGGTGTTAGTGTGGTAGAGAGAATCAGATGGTCTGACTTGTGATGTTTTCTGCTAGGAAATTGGCACTGCCTCTGTCGTTGCGCCCTCCCGCACCCTAATCCTTCCTCATTCCCAGGGTGGGATTGCTATGCCCTGGGCAGACCCCTTCCGTCACCTGCTCCCACAGTGGCTCCCTTTCGAACCGGTCTTGTGATCCCCGAAACAGCTGCAAGGAAGAGTTATTTTTGCCAAGCTGGCTCTTGGGTGCTCTGTGCCCCCCACCAATTTGCTCACCTCTTGGGACATTTTGTAATGTTTTCTCTGTTTTGTAAAACCTTTTGGCTCTACCAAAATGGTTTCTGTGGTTACCTTTGGAAATAACTGGTCATTAATTTGTGTACTTAGCATTCTGAATTTTAGTCTGAGGTGTTTCTGTTGTTGAAGATCGCTGAATGAAAAGGAGCCCTCACCCTGGGACTTGCTATTAAATGTTTCCTTCATTTACTGTTATTAAAAGATACGTGAGGGGGCTTCCCTGGTGGCGCAGTGGTTGGGAGTCCGCCTGCCGATGCGGGGGACGCGGGTTCGTGCCCCGGTTCGGGAGGATCCCGCGTGCCGTGGAGCAGCTGGGCCCGTGGGCCGTGGCCGCTGGGCCTGCGCGTCCGGAGCCTGTGCTCCGCGGCGGGAGAGGCCACGGCAGTGACAGGCCCGCGTACCGCAAAAAAACAAACAAAAAAAAAAGATAACGTGAGGGAAAAAAAAAAGAATAGACATGATCTTTAACCTCAGTGGAATCCTTATATCCAAGAATACATCTAGAGAAGAAAATAAAGCTGAATGCTTTCGACTTTTAGTATCTTTACCCACTATCTGAAAAAACCAAAAAACAAAAAGCAGCAAACTACCGATGGCTGTTTCTCTAATTACAGTGAGCCCTGCGTGTATGCATGTTGATGTGTATACATGAGTGCGTGTTTCTTTCCAGGGGACAACACAGATTAAATAAAAGAGGAATCAATTTGCTTATTTTACTGTAAACCAATCCTCATTTCCTCAAACATCTTTTACTTAAGTTTCTGCCCCATGAATCTCTAGTTTTATGCAATATATTTTCCTTTTTCCCCTAAAATAAAAATGTCCCAAGGTTTTCCAGATTACATGTTGCAGTGCAAGCATTACAAAGGGATTTAGCACTTGCAAACTTTGCTCCGCTGTTTAGCAAAATTTTAGATAAATGAAAAAAATAAAGATAAGTGTTAGGTCCTATGTGCATATTTATTTGTGGATTACACATTATACCAAATGAAAATATAAAGATAAGAAAGGCACTTCAAATGTAGCATCATATTTATACTTGTCTGTACCATTCTGAGAATTACAATATTATTTTACTTAAGAAAGACAAAATCCCAACATGTTTCCTTGATTCTCTCATCAGAAGGGATTAGCATACAAGTTTTCTTGACCTGAAAAGTAACCTTTAGCTGACAAATGCATGTAAGGAAATGAAAACCAGCAGTGTTTCTACTCTTATCCATTTTTTTCTGATCTCTTCTGATGTAAAAACATTTCCTTGTTCAAAAAACTATTGTTTTATATCTGCATATGTTAAGGAAAGCTTTAAGTAATTAAGGTGTTTCCTGAAGTGAGCATACATGTAAATTTAAAATTTAAGGCTAAGCAATAAAATATTCTCTCTGAATTAAAGTGAACTTGCTGACATGATTCATTAAATCCTTAAAAATAATTCAAACTTCAAGAATTTATACTAATGAATATTTCCCATATAGCTTGCAAATTAAGTTGGAAAAGTCTACAAAGAAATGGCTATCAATATAGAAATGCTGATAAGGCATGCAGATTCATGATTTTACTATAAAAGTTCATTAACACATGAACTATACATGGTTGTATATGTTTTGAGTATATAATTAGGAACCTCACAAAGCCAGTGATTTCACACAGGTAGATTTTCCATTTTTCTAAATGTACCCTTAAATTCCCCAAGACATACATTTATTGAAACAAAGTGTTACCAAAGGAAGCAGACAATGTAAAGATCAGAGATGGATTTCTCAGAAATACCAAAGCTTCATGCAGTTTTGTCACCTTTCATTTGGCTTAATGACACCAGCCAAAGTCAGCCTCATGAATGGTTCAAAAAGCAATTGAACAGTGTCAAGAAGTTAGAAATTCCATGGAGACAGGTACTATATACTTATTCTCTAAGTAATAATTTTTCCAAAAAAAATACTCTCCTTTTTGCATAGTTATAAATTATTCTTTTTAATTTGATTTAGATATAACAATATTTATAAATCTGAAGATATTAAATTGGTTATAAAAATTAGCTTTTAAAGAGATTTTTAAATTTCTTAGTTAAAAATCAAGATAATGATTTACAGAGATGTGGATAATGTGAGTTTCCCTAGATCAAGCAATTTGTAGTTAAATTAAGAATAGGAGATATCTTTTTATTCCAGGGAAAAAAGAAAAAGATATTTATTAAATGCTGGTGTTTTTGTTTGTTTGTTTGTTTTTGGTGGTATGCGGGCCTCTCACTGTTGTGGCCTCTCCCGTTGCGGAGGACAGGCTCCAGACGCGCAGGCTCAGCGACCACGAACCCGTGTCCCCTGCATCGGCAGGCGGACTCCCAACCACTGCGCCACCTGGGAAGCCCTCATCAGCTACTTTTGCTTTCACCAGAAATACATAACATATCCTCAACTCCCTTGCAAACCTCCCGTGATACGACAAAGCAAAACTCCAATCCTGAATCTATGCCATAATCTACCACCTCCCCTTACCCACTTGAGATACAATATAAAAATGGCCATGTTCTTGTTGGCCCTTACTAAGACTAGATTTAAGAACAGAAAAGCTAGTTCCGTGACCTCCCCTGATGGGTCCCCCTCCCTCTCCCACTGTAGGCAACCCAGTTGCCGAGGGCCCATGCAGTATTTCACTTGTTAACTGTATCGGACCTAGACTGAGTTTCAGTGACTAGAGGGTCGTGATTTCAGCCAGTGAACTTAACAGGAGGCAGCAGAGTGGGGAAGAGTCTCCTCGAGGATGGCAACGCCCAGGGAAGCAACTGTGGCAGTCCTGCCCCTTTGCAGAGGCACGCTGTATTGAGGCCATCACTCCCCGGGGTGTGAGATTGCAGGAGGGAGAACACCGAGCGCGCTGACTCCCCAGGGGCAACTCGCGACGCACAACCTTCACTTCCCACGTTCTTGGAGGGTTGCCCTCCCGAAGAGGCACCACCGCAGTGCCTGGATTTGCCCCGCCCACCGGCTGCGTGTAGGCGGGGCTGATGAGGAATTTCGCGAGACCTCAGTAGCCCTAGGCGTCTTTACGCGCAGGAAGGTTACACGGAGGTTTCAGGAGGAGCCCTTGGGGGCCTGGCCCGCCCGCTGCCAGAACGCGGAGTCTCTGCTGCAGCTAGGGGCCAGCAGCCTGGGTGGGAGAGACGCTCCGCCGCCAAGGGCTCGGTGGCAGAGCAGTTCTGTGGCTCTCTTTCTCCCTGTCTCCGGGCCTGGCGCGGGGTGCTAGTCGCCCCGAGCTTTCCCC